CTGCTGACTGTGTGTGCTTCTGAACTGTCCTTTATTGCCTTTTGATAGCACTTGTGAAAGATTATAGTAATATTGCTGTTCACTTGCATTTTATGCAGCCAGTTCTAAACTCTTCTAATCCACTTTTATGCAGACCAGGAGAGAGAAAAAATGCTTTTATTAATTAAGTGGCACTCTCTTTGTTCCAGTTTCCCTGGTTGTGCTCATTACTTTGGCTGCTATGTGTGCTTGGCTCTCTCAAGTCATTCTTCTCTGATGTGGTGGTGATGCAGGACAACCAGATGATATCCAAGCCCCTGTTTTAGAGGGCTTTCTCCTCTTGGCTGAGCAACCCTAGTAACTGAAGTCAAGGAAGCTCTATTGTGCACTGAGGAATGTGGTGGGAAGCTGCTGTGCCCTTCCTAGCACCCTCAGTGTTGGCATGAAGGAGCTGGGGGAGCAAAGAGCGACTTATTTAAGAGATCTCTCCACCTTCCTCCCACAAAGCACAACGATCCATAGCGAGTGTCGCACCTGCTCTGCTGGCTGACAGCTACGATTTGTGTTCCGTTTTGTCCAAGCCACCCCACAGAGCTTACGTAAGTGTCTTTCGGTCCCATTCCATGTCAGACCAATTTTAAATTTAAATCCCAGTGCTGTGGGATATTGCCTAATCAGATTAGAGAGTGTGTACCGAGTCTCTTCACTGCTGTATCACCAGTGCTTCGGGATTGTTGTATGTAAGTCATAGGTTTTTAACTACTACTGTATATAAACAGTGTGAATTTTAGGTTAGGAGCTACTTATATTGTAATTTATTATTCTTATTTCTTAGGCTTGGGTAAAATTATTTTTCATAGCCTATTCTTCAAGCCCATGGAATGAAAGCATCATTTTGTTGTCCGATGCTGATTTGCTGTATCACCAGATATGTACAAATGTCCCTACACTGACACCACTGCCAGTAAAACCTCCAGCATGGTCTCCAAACGGGATCACAGCACCAGCAGCAGCAGGTCAGGAGAGGTGTAAATTGGTCAGTCCCCATCTTCATCCTCTCAAAATGAGCCTGATGCTGAGTCTTTCAGCTTCCCTATGCCCGAGGTTGCTGAATACTCACAGTGTGTGCAATGAGGTGTTTGCCAAAGGTCGTGCTGTACCACAGTTAAGCACATCTCCAAGTGTGATTATTTGAGCTACCGTTCGCAATCCCTTTTAATATTAAAACCACTGGGCTGCCTGCCATCAACGCCCTCACCCTCCACATGTGCATGCACACTTTCTGTGGTGTCTTTGAAAGTTTCACCCTTAAATTCAGCATCGCAGTGGTATTGAAACAGGTCTGGACAATCATCCTCCAGGAGGACTTGCAAAATCCCAGGGCCTTTGCTTTATCTGTCAGGGTTTCCTAACTAATCCACCAGTTTGCCTTTGTCGTGGTCTCTTACCTGGGACTAAATTCCTCGCTTTATTCAACAGAGGTTTTAGCGCATACCCAAAACTCTCCAGAGTCTGCTGGGGCTGGACCAGCCATGGCAGACTCTGTGCCCAGCACTGATCTGCAGAGCCCATTTGTAGGCATGAGGGGGTGAAGTTCCTGTTGGCTTGATCGTTCATTTCTGAGATTCAGCACAGATCCTTTCCTGGAGCACCAGCTGTGAGGATGAGTTTCTCCCCCATGAGCCAAACACTAAATAAACATACATGTATATATATAGTGTTGGTTTACTTGAGGGTTTTTTATGTTGTTTTGGATTTCCCACTCGTTCTCAACATGCTCAGCCTCTTCCAGGACTTGGAAGCTCCTGCTGATGATAAAGCACAGGCCAAATGTAAATGGCAACGACAACAACATCTAATCTAGGACAGGACCTGTTTGTAAAAGTACCAGAACACCCTCGTGATCCTTAACTTTGTACAGCCTGCTAAAAAGAAGCACACTCAGTTCTCTGTCTGCAGCAGTAGGTGGTGCTGGCAAACTGCACATTTGTTAGTGCGCTCTTGGAGCTGACGGCACCATCGACTCCCAGAGGTGCAGATGGGGAGGTCACAGTTTGAACGTGGTCTCAATCCAGCCTCAGCAGGGGAGCCCCATTTCGCAAGACAATGACCTGTTTTTCCTAACGTGTAAGGAAATGCTGAACCCGAACTGCTCAAACTTCTGACTACAGCCACAGATGACGTTTATTGGCACACAAATTGTGCAGGCTTGCAGTGAAATGTGGAAAACTAAGCCCACAGTTTTATGTAGGGGAGATACCTGTACACAGAAGGAGTTGTGAGGACGGGAAAGTGCACAGACGGAGTTTGCCTCTTTGAGTCCCATCTTGAACAGAAAGGAAGGTTACAGGCGTGATCCTTGTTTCTCTCCTCACCCCAGCATACCTACAGCTGGTTCTTCAGCTTCCAATCGAAATCTTTAATACGCATTGTAACCATGCAGTGTTCTAAAATGAGAAGTTGAAGAAAAACACTACTTGATAACAGAGTCTTTACATGGGTTTTTTAATGGTTTATAATCTCAATCTTCCTTGACACAAATCTCTAAATCTGATTATTGTTGGTCTTTGCACATGAGCCAACATCGCCATAGCTTTACACAGGCAAGTGTTTAGTTTGCTGTGATCTCTGGTTTGAGCACTGGTGACTGGCACATTGTAAAAGAAGTTAGTAAGAGGAACCAGGTAATAAATGAGCTGTGAAGGGGCATACAGTAGACATGCAACAGACACTGGCTCGCTGTGTTTTTTCCAATTGAAGCAGAGCTGAGGAAGTTTGCAGGAGTTACATGTGCTTCAAAGTTGACTGAAATATCCCAGGTCATTTTTCATTATTCATATCTGCTTCCTTGACTTTCCCTTTCTTTATTGAGACTTTAAAAATTTATATACTATCAGTAATGGGTCTCGAAAAGGTAGAAGAATGCAGCCCAGGGTAGGAAACAGAAACTGAGGAGTCATTATCGCAGCCTGTTGTCTTACAGTGCTTGTAATTTAAGCTTAATAAAACATTTGTCTTATGTTAAGAGCTAATTATAACCACATGTAAAACTTGACATCATTACGCAGGATTAAGTTCTGTTGCTTGATCTGGTTTATTGGTTAATTCCTTTGGGAGTGTTTTAGAGGAAGGTGTTTTAGATAAGTGCCCGCTGTTTATAACTTTTAAAATACACTATTAAAAGTGGCAACTGCTATTTCTTGATAGTCACAAGTTGTTGTAAATAAAGGAACTTTGCAATCATGGGAGTTCCTGTTTAGTTTTTTAAATACAGAATTATTAAATGGAATCGTTTCATTGCCCAAGTTCTGGGCTGTTCTGTATGTTACTGGGCTGTTAAATGGAAATCTCATTACGGATTCATCTTTAGTGTATGTCTGTGTATGTACACACAGAATCTGGGCTGCACGCTATGTACAGTACAGTGCTGTATTTTAGATTTTGCTTCTGTAGATTCGTAAAAGAGAAGTGAGTCAGTGCGACTTGGCAATTGTTTTAGGGCACTGTATTAGTTCTGCTCTGCTTCCTACTGAGTCGATAAGAAAAGAGCCAAGCTCTTCGATGAGATGCCCACGTTGCAAAGCTCTTTTGGCAGTGAGGTCCACTGGTCAAGTTGCCCAAAGGCCTGCTGAAGCACATTTGAATTCTGTGATCTGGTGTTTTACAGGTCGCTCCAGAAGCCAGCCCGGGACTGCTGAGTAGCTCACAAACCATCCCGGCACTGGGGACCGGGGGTGTTGAGTTTTTCCCGCTGAAGCCATAACTCCCCGGTGGGTGACGCCAGCCGCAAAGCTGCTGTCCACGTGGACCGGTGCTGAAATCTCTCGTCCGGCTGCTGCCAGAGCCTCTCCAGCGAAACCCAGAGACATGGCAACAAACGGAACGAAAGTGGCCGACGGACAGATCTCCACGGAAGTTGATGCTTCGATCACCAATGACAAGCCCAAAACCTTGGTAGTAAAAGTGCAAAAGAAGAAGACAGACCTTCCAGACCGAGATACTTGGAAAGGGAAATTTGACTTTCTTATGTCCTGTGTAGGTTATGCCATTGGCTTAGGGAATGTGTGGCGATTTCCGTACCTCTGTGGCAAGAATGGGGGAGGTACGTTTGCTGTTTCATTCTTACAACCTCCGATACATCTGCATATTAGAATTCACCATTCAAATTAACAGTAAAACAGAACTTGGTTTAATAGCTTTTTCATCTGTATAGGTCTTTTTTGGTTTTTGTTTTTTGCTTTACACCCATCCAGGAGGGTTGGAGACATTTTGGAGTGTGGTGCTCTGTTCTGAGGTCTGCTCTGGAGTTTATTCTGACTATGGGCTGGCAGGTGCTCTTTCTTTTAAGGCATTAAAGCAGAACTAAAGCACATTGCCCTCCAATCCTTCAGAGCCCTCTCTTTTGGACTGAGGATTTTTTGAGAGGATTGCGTATGGCTTGTAATGCTCACTCTGAGCTTGCCATAAAAGGCTCACCTCAGCTGGAAAGCAGCCAGCTCTGGTTAAAGCCTTTATGCTGTCTGCATGCTCCTGTGATAGATGAAGGCAACAAAATACACAGTCTTTTGGATGTTAGCTTTTCACTTAAACGGAAAATATTTATATGATGAGGACATAATACTTTTTCCCCTTATTTTCACCTCTTGAGATACTGGTTCACAAGTGTACGTGTGCTTTCCACTAACCTTTCTGAAAAGGTACATTTAAGAATGAAAAAAAGGATGTTTCTTGTCATATATAACAGGGATGGAAACAGTGGAAACTCAGTTGTGTTTTTCCTCACTGTAACAGACTTTTATTTCTTTCTCTTTAGGTGCTTTTCTGATTCCCTATTTCCTTACTTTAATTTTTGCTGGAGTGCCACTGTTTCTTCTGGAGTGTTCCCTTGGTCAGTATACGTCTATAGGAGGCCTTGGAGTGTGGAAGCTTGCTCCAATGTTCAAAGGTACAGTATGAATTTGGATCACTTTCCATTTGTTTCCACGTTGCACAAAGTGGCAGGGCAAGGATGTTTCTTTATGCCTTCATATTTTTACCTAAACCGTAATTTTCTACGGAAAACCCTAATTTTCTGAGGTGTTACTGACTATTTCGAAAAATGATCAAGTATTACTCATTCCCCATTAAAAATAGCAAGAGTTAGGCATTAGAATCTAAACAAACTTATTTTTAAACTACAAAAAAAATTATTTTTTGTTGGGAACATAGAAAGACTCTTCACAATATCGTATTAAATCCAGCAGTAGTTGTCTGAGTAGGTATGGAACTCTGCTGACAGTGATTTGGTAAGCATAGTTTCTGTTTGGGTTCACAGAGGTTTGTATCTCCTGTTCTTCTTTATTCAAATTCAAAATCCAGACACTTCAAAGATGGCAGTTTCATGCTGAATTGGTCAAGACAAGCTCATGCCAGATTTTTAGCTAGTTTGAGGTTTCTCATTGCTAGTACCTCAAAGTTTTTATCTAGATAGACCTACAAACCTCACAAACTGTGCTTTGCACCCTCTAATCCCAAATCCTTTCACACTTAAGTCCTGAGCTGACTTCTGGACCAGTAGAGGAGGTGGTTACACATTAAATTATAAATTACTTCACACAGTAGGACTGACAGCGTAGGGTGAGCTAAAGGTTTGGTTAGAGTGGATTTTTGTTCTAGGAAATTTTGTGTTGGGAAAACTCAGAGAGATGAAAAATGTTTCTCACAGGTAAGTATTTAAACTTAGCTCAAGTTACTGTTGTTGGCAGGGGGCACGATGCAAAGTATTGCCCTTACTTTGCATTATACTGGTTGTTTTGAGCACTTGCTCCTGTTTAGTGTCACACAGCAACTGTCACCAGCCTGAATATTTTAAAATACCCCTGAAGGCTCCATGAAGAGCAGAAGACAAGGCATTCTCACCGTGGGACCGCTGACATTTCGTTAGTCTGAGATGATGCAGTGGCATCAAACTACGCTTTTAGCACTTTGCTCCGTGCACTGAGTGGCTAACTGGTCTGCTAACTGCTGCTCAACTTGCATGCATCTGCCAGGAGTTTCTGCGGGACTGCTGTTTTAGCTGGTTTAGCTCTTTTCTCTAGAAGTAAAAAACTCCTGTAAAATCTCAGCAGTAGCAGGTGTGGCTGCTTACTGCAACACAAGGAGAACTGGACACTGTGATTAAATCTATGGATGACTGAACGCTCATCTAAATTAGTGACCTTTAATGGCACTTCTAAAATTTAACCTGACTTGTACACAATTTGATAAATGGTATCATCTACCCTGTATATTATATTTATCATTCTGACCTACTCTTCAACTGTGCAGCCGGCACTAGAAGTTACCTTCTTTTGTATCTGTGTGTTTTCCTTGCAGGTGTGGGTCTAGCTGCTGCAGTCCTGTCCTTTTGGCTAAATATTTACTACATTGTGATTATTTCCTGGGCCATATACTACCTGTATAATTCTTTTACCACTGTAAGTGTGTTTGTGGGAGAGGGGGTTGGAATTGTTTGTTGAATGTAAAGCAAAGTGATTAATACATAGCTGATTAATTTGTCCAACTGTAAAGGTGTAAGGTTAACACAAAATGCATAGAAACCAGCAGAATAAGCCATTTCTTACTAAAGCAAAACTTATTTTGTAGAAATCCCTTTTAATTTCTTTTTTTTTTCTCCACAAGAAATGTAGAATAGAAAACTGAGGAAAATATTCCATTCCAAGAGCGTCAGTGGAGAAACGTAATAATAGGTCATTTTGGAGCCACAGGCTTCTCTTTCTTACTGATTTCAGTTTCTTCATCTTATTCTTCAAAGCCACAGCTCTTTCATCTGTACCCTCTCAGTTTCACTGATAACCTGTCTCTGCCCTTTAATTGCAAGCATGCCTTTAATTGGGGCTTGCTGCTCTGCTTACCTGCCAGGCAGGAGGCTTCCAACTCCTTGTCCTGCCGTGCTGACCAGAGCTCTGGTGCCCCTTTACCTACAGGCCACCCATTCCCCTGAGAAAAACTCTAGTGTAGAAATGATCATTCTTTTAATTTCAATGGCAGCCAGACAAACGTTAGTTCTTTGGGAGGTGGTGTCATTGCAACGTTTTAATAGCGGAAGAATTTAGTAAAGAAATCTCCATGGAATGCAAGGTCTGTGATGTGATTAGCTCTCAACTTCCATTCATTGTGGTTATTTTTGCTTTGTTTTCTTTCCTTTTAACTTTATTTTTAGCTGCCTTTTTTTCCCCCCTCAAGGATGATTCATCAGCTGAGTAGGTCTTGTCTGATCTGTGGGTTTTGGGCATCTGAGGAAGCATTCTTACATAAGACTCAATAATTAATCTGTTATTGTTCAATTGTTTTCTCTTTTACAAATTTTGTTCATGCTTGCTTGTTCTCAGCTTTAAAGAATTATCCCCTGGCCAATTTTGCATTAATTACTGTCTGGGAGTGACAAGAGCATTTCCTTTTTTGTTATCCTCAGATTTGTTACTGATGTGAAAGGTCAGTCGTAGTCTGGAAGTGGTGCACTGGCCCATATTAGATGAATATTGACTACTAATCCCCTTGAAGCCTCTTATCCTTGTATTTAAAACACGCAGTACCCTGACAGAACATTTTCTGAGAGGATTTTCTTGAGGATTGGCCATCGGAAGAATAGCTAAGTTGTATCTAAATGAGATTCATTCTAATGGATATCATGGGGAAACAAGTTCTGCTTCTCAGAACTTCTGAAAGATCATTTCATGTAATGGACACATGTAGAAAACAGAACATTTACATTTTTCTAGTTGTCCCCATGACCATCACGACTGTATTACCTCTAGTGCACAGCAGGTAACAGGACCTCCAGGAGGTACTTTCTGCTGCCCGTGTTTCCTGTGGTGCACACATGCACAATATACTCTCACGTGCTGAGAGGTGTACCTGACTCTGAGGCATTTGGGCTGATACACTAAAGAAAGGAAGAAATATTTTCACATCTGATTCACACAATTGATATGAAGTTCAATAACTTATGTGGCAGACATGCACCCCAGTGAGATCAGGGCACTGCAGAACTCAAAGTATATTAGTTTTCTTCTCAACTGTCATTTCTAGTAGAGAGAAATCACAGAATCACAGAACGTTAGGGATTGGAAGGGACCTCCAAAGCTCATCCAGTCCAATCCCCCTGCCGGAGCAGGAACACCCAGATGAGGTTGCACAGGAAGGCGTCCAGGCGGGTTTTGAATGTCTGCAGAGAAGGAGACTCCACAACCTCTCTGGGCAGCCTGGGCCAGGGCTCTGTCACCCTCACTGAGAAGTTTCTTCTCAGATTGTAGTGGAACCTCCTGTGTTCCAGTTTGTGTCCGTTACCCCTTGTCTTATCATTGTTTGTCACCGAGAAGAGCCTGGCTCCATCCTCGTGACACTCACCCTTTAAATATTTATAAACATGAATGAGGTCTCCCCTCAGTCTCCTCTTCTGCAAACTAAAGAGCCCCAGCTCCCTCAGCCGCTCCTCAGAAGGGAGATGCTCCACTCCCTTGATCATCTTTGTAGCCCTACGCTGGACTCTCTCCAGCAGTTCCTGTCCTTCTTGAACTGAGGGGCCCAGAACTGGACACAATATTCCAGATGCGGTCTCACCAGGGCAGAGTAGAGGGGGAGGAGAACCTCTCTGCCCTACAACCACCCCCCTCCTGATACACCCCAGGATGGCATTGGCCTTCTTGGCCACAAGGGCACAGTGCTGGCTCATGGTCATCCTGCTGGCCACCAGGACACCCAGGACCCTTTCCCCTACGCTGCTGGTAACGCTTACTTAAGAAGTATTTGACTGTTTAAGTTCTTTTTTTCTCTCTTTCTTAAATAGACTCTTCCTTGGAAACACTGTGATAACCCATGGAACACCGACCGCTGCTTCTCCAATTATACCTTAGCAAACACCACCAACATGACAAGTGCCGTGGTTGAGTTCTGGGAGTAAGCTGATAATTTTTCTCTATGTCATTCCTGTGCATATGCAAGGATCAGCTTGTTATCATTCATATACCATCTTCTGAATTAATTGTCAAATACACCATTCTGTTGGCTCATTCTAGACGCAACATGCACCAAATGACTGATGGATTGGAAAAACCAGGGCAAATCCGATGGCCGCTAGCAATTACTCTAGCAATTGCCTGGATTCTGGTGTACTTTTGTATCTGGAAGGGGGTAGGCTGGACCGGAAAGGTAAGATTAAAAAGTACTGTAAATACATTTCAATTAAAAATGCCAATTTTACTCAAATATTCTGAAAATTCTTGAGGTAAGAAGCACTGGAGACAGTTTTGCTGGAATAGCTCTGTGAAGTGTTTCATTTCTGACTTTCCTGAACTGATACAGCACCATGTTTTTGAAAGAACGGACTCCTCTGTAGCTAGCTCTGACCTCACTCTTGGATGGTACGGTCGCTTATAGACTTCTTGGCTTTGCCAGGTATAAAATTGCCTAAAAATATATCTGCTTGTTCCTGGAATGAATATTCTAGGTAGTTTAAATAGCAGCAGAGTCAGGATGCAGAGTTTTGGCTTCAGCGAGAAGCATGCATTTGCTGTAGCTCTTGCTGGACTTAGACATGTGAGTGTTGAAGCTGTATTGCATATAAGAGTTACTCCCCCTTTCCCTGTGCTAAATGAGAGCCATAGGTGGTTCTTACCACAGGCTTGCTTACGTGCTGAGCTTTGAGGAGTCTGGCTGGTTCTGAGTGCAAAATAGAATTTACTAATGAATTAAAGGAAATTCTATTACTAACAGGCCTTTCTCCAGGAATGAGCGGACAACAGTGTCTGCCATTGGCATAGACCTCTCCCTCTCTCCAAAATGAGAGAGGAAAAGCTCTTAGGAAAATGAAAAGCCACATCTTTTCACAAGATAGTTGTGACTATGACCCACTTCAGTCTGCATGCTGAACGTGGCCTACTTGAGCTCAGACCAAACTATTTCATTTCTCCTGGCTGTAGAGAGGATGGCAATAAAGGGCTGATTGTTTCTTTGCAGTCTGACTTCATAGTGGCTGTTTTCTAAAGTTTTTGAAAAGGCAAGAGAGTAGGTTCCTGTAGGGCAATTCTGTTATAAAATAAGTGAGGAGAGAGGGTTAGAAATACAAAAGCAGCTGTCGGACAGCAGCATGATAATCTAACAGAGGTTATTCTACAAGCAGGACAGGAGTACTGGAACCTTGTGCTGTAGGGAGCTCCCCTTCTTGAATTGAAAAAAAATCAACACCTCCAAAACCACCCCCCCAAAAAAAAACACCCAAAAAACCCCCACATAATAACCAAAACCACGAGCCCCTCATGCAAAAATATCCTAGTCCACTAAATTCCACCTTCAGGAAAGTCAGCGCCAGCCCCTGTAGACACCGTGTCTGGGGAATTCTGCAGCGGGTGCTCCCCTCTCCTCACCAAGCTTTTCCATTGACAAATGCCCCCGTTTCAAAAGTCAGCCCCAGTTGTTGCTAGAGTATTTTCAGGGTGCAAATATTTTCTGAAGTGTTAACAAGCACAGATCATTCTTCCTTCCACACTTACGATGTCTTGTTTCTTCACATCAGGTGGTATATTTCTCTGCTACTTATCCCTATGTTATGCTGCTTATCTTGTTCTTCCGTGGTGTAACACTGCCTGGAGCAAAGGAAGGCATTTTATTCTATATAACTCCCAACTTCAGTAAGCTTTCAGACTCTGAGGTAAATATTCAATCCTTGTAAACAAAAGTTTCACTACTAACTGTTCACCTTTCAGACATATGACCTGCTCCTCAAGTGCAGAAACAGATTTTTAAAAAAATTATTTCCTGCAATCAGGTTTGGCTGGATGCTGCCACACAGATTTTCTTCTCCTATGGTTTGGGTCTTGGTTCACTGATTGCCCTTGGAAGTTACAACCCTTTCCACAATAATGTTTACAGGTAAGCAGATGACTGCACATATTACAGTGGCACTTTCCTGTCTCAGCTGGAGCTGGATTCTGTCTTTCTGTGTACCGTATCATTGAAATCAAGTGTAGTCTCAGATCTGAATGTTAAATGTTATGCCGAGCTAGGAATGAGATGTAAAACTGCGTTAACACTAACGAGAGAGACACTATGACTTGTCCAGCATGAATCGGAACCCAGACTGTAAAATCCTAAATCATGAAATCTGTTCACAGGAAAGAAGGGTAATGTACTGATGAGTAGCAGCACTGCTTTACCTGCCGCTTAAAGCACCTTACCTTTATTTCAGGGACTCCATCATAGTGTGCTGCATAAACTCATGCACAAGCATGTTTGCTGGCTTTGTCATCTTCTCCATTGTTGGATTCATGGCTAATGTCACAAAGAGGCCGATTGCAGATGTTGCAGCATCAGGTATCCAATATATTTCTCTCTAAGTTGCTCAGTGGCATCAGTTATTTTCTGTTTGTATCCAACTGCTTCATGTAATTGTTCAAAATCCCTCCCTCAAAGCATTCCTCAGCTCCCTGTCATTTCAGTCACCCTTACTGATTGCAAACGGGAGAGCATCAGTTCAGACCTCTCAAGGCAGCGCCAGCGAAACCATTTCATGTCGAGCAGACTGCCTGCCCGCCCGCCCAGCGCTTTCAGACCTTTGGTGCAGAGAGTGGTCAGCCAGAGACTCGTCTTGGGCTGACACAGTGAATACTGATGAATATTACTCACAGGGACAGCATTTACAAGAGGTGGCAGCGCAATTTGCTGCTTCGGTGCTTAGCTGTGACACCGCGTTAGGAGCCTCTTGCTACTGAAATTCCAAACTGAAAGGAGGAATGATGGTCATTATGTTTTTGGAGCCTAATATTCTCCATTTGAGTTAGGTTTTTAAATTCCTTTAACTGTTTTTTTGAGTGTAAGCCCTTTGAGGCAGATCCATTTCTCACCTGTTCAGACCTACAGCTATCAGCCCGTTTTATGGGACCCGTAATGATGGAAGTCGTTTTACTCAGGGCACTAAGATGTCCATGGGAGGATTCTGTTATTCTCTGCAGTTCCTTGTCTTTCTTCCAGATGAGAAAGCTTAAAGTCGCAGAGCAGATGGTTGCCCTAACCCAGCTGGTGTACCAGATACTCACTTAGCAGTTCTGGCCACAGGGAGGGTTCTGATAACTGAAACCTTGGTTGGCAGTCACTGGTAGACAAAATACGTCTGATTGCACTAGCAAACATATCCCATTGATGAAATATTCCCTTAGTTAGAAAAGTAGAGAATTTAAGCCCTAAAAATAATCTTCAGCAAACTACACGTGCAAAGAAATTAGCAAAACAAATGACTATGGCATATGCTGTTGTCAGAAAATGCTCTGGAAAGTCAGTGGGGTGTGAAATAAGCTTCTGGGATGTATGTGTTTGATACGGATGTAACTATATGAAGATGGCACCTGCAAACAAAATGATATTTTTACATCACATTAAGCTCCTGAATACGTTTCAATGTGTGTAAGATAACAGACTTTTCAAAGATGCACCTGACCTCCTGTGGCCAGTAATTGCAAAGGATATTTGGAAATTTGACCTTTAATTAAGGCCTCTATTTCTCCTAGTAAGCTCAGACACTAATGCTTTTTCTAGCACCATGGGACACGCTGTTTTGCAGTCTTTTATACAGCTTTGCAAAACACACGATATTATTACAAGCTGTAGCTGCATTTCAGTGAAATGTGTAACTGAGTGAAATTAAGAACATATTTATCTTAAGCTTATTTTGCTCTTACTACTGACATTTAGAAGGCACTCCAGCCATATCTGCTGTTGCGAGCAGATAATTGTTTCACACTCTGTATTGCATTTACCCTGACAATTCAGGTGGCTAACGCTAGTCCTTGCTTTACCAGTCTGAAAGCTATAGAAGTCCAGCCAGTTATCACAGACAGGCTTACTTTTCATGAAAACTGACAATTCTGATACCTCCCCCCTTAGGGGAGGCACATTAATTTTATTTCTCTGATTATTTAATTCGCTACAGATTTCACTCATAACCTGACACCAGCTGCTTTCCAGCTATGCTATGACAGGAGAGCTCCCTTTTTTGGGTTGGTTTTTTTTTTTCAATAAGAATTTAATATTCTCCTTCCATCTCTGTGCCCCCCTATCAGCAGTTCGTAGGAACACAAATGAAAAGGTTTGCCTGTTTACAACTACGGAGGTTATTAAAAAGAGTATTCTAAGATCATTAATGGAATAGCAAATGGAAATACTGTAAATGCTGGAAAGTGGCGTCTTCATTCTGAGCTGTCTTTGTTTCTTACCTGAACTGCTTGGGCCAAAGCTGAAGATTAAAGCTCTCAGTAACTACCTGAGAGGGAGGGGATGCTGAGCAGTACCTGAAGATGCAGTCCTAGCCAAGGATAACGTTCCCTGTCTTTGCTATACCAAAGTGTCTCTCAGGAGCAGCTTCTGAACTGCATCTCATATTGTGCTTGGTTTGGGGTTGGTGGGGTTTGTTGTTTGTTGGTTTGTTTGTTTTGGTTGGTTCATTTTAAAAGCAAGGCACACACAATGACTTCTCGGTCAGCGAACACTGATTAAGCTGAAATCCCTGGTCAGATGCTGTATCCATGGCTGAGTCACTCAAATAAACCTAAAATCTATGTATCAACAGGAGCAAATAATCAGAATGCCAAATCAATCACACTGACATTTTCTCTCCTGTTTCTCCTACCAGGCCCTGGACTGGCATTTCTAGCTTATCCAGAAGCAGTGACACAGTTACCAATTTCTCCTTTGTGGGCAATACTGTTCTTCTCCATGTTGCTTATGCTCGGAATTGACAGTCAGGTAAAACTGGTGTGAAAAAAGATAACAAACCAGGTCGGCCTCTCTCCGTGCATTCTGCACTGCCTGCAGCCAGTGGTGCAGAATGGTTTCTGGAATAATCAGTTAAATAACAGGAGGTACTAAGGAGAGGAAAGACTGAGATGTTCAAGGAGTCTGGGATAGTCAAAAACTGATGCTAAGACACCACTTCTTCTTGAACTATTGGAAGCATATACAAAATGTGCAGAAAATTTATTCTGCAGACCAAAGGATCTTTCTTTGAAACCTTAACCATTCAGTCACGATAATAAAAATACCTTTGCAGTGTTCATCCACATGGGAGACACTGGGATATGCTTTACAAGATTTAGATGCCACAGATTTTTCTGAAAGGCAACTTCAGAACTTGCCACATGGAGCAAAAAAAAGATGCACGCATTTCCTTCCAAGCACATGAATGTCAGGAATAAATTCTGGAGGCAGTAGGCTCATTACTGAGGACCTTCTGCATCTTAGCCTGTTGTGAAATCACCTCCCAGTGGTAAGGATCAAGACTTTATTGGTTCAGGCCTTAGCTAAGTCTTACAGATGGTATCTGACAACTGGACATTAATGGGAAGGCACAACCTAGATGTTTTGCAAATCCAAATAAGTTATTCTCCAGAATTACTGTCTAGGTTAAATAATGAAATAATTAAGTCATGCAGCCATTAAAAAATCGGTTATTGCAAAATGAACACAAAAAAGCACACAGAACAAGAATAAACACTTCACATGCTAGAAGGGAATACGTCCAATGAAAGCATTCATTAACCAGTAACATTTTTAATACAGATAGCAGCTCTGTTGTAAGCTCTAAAGCAAGCACTCTGTTTAACTTTGCAAAGCTTACTTCGAAGACTCTGTTGGGGAAGACCCTTCTGCCTACTGAAATGTTTGGTCACTTGTATGTGACCATCCATAGGCAGATGTGTTCAGCTACTTGCAGTCAGTTGCAGTTGTCAAACCAGCCCCTTCCAGTTCTTAGCACAGCCTTCATAGCATGTCAAGGAGTATGAGAATTACCAGCTTAGCACTGTACTCATCTTTCAGTAGAGAAAATCCGTGATTTTCTATAAATCCAAGCTGACTTCAGCCTGTGAACCAAAATACAAAAAGACCATGAGGGCATTTTATACTGCAACATCAAAGCATGCTGAAAATTTATGTTTTCTATTTCTTTGTTTTTCAATAAGCTTCAGGCTTGACATTAAAACCTATTGCTCAACCTGGGGGGGGAGGGGAACTACTGTGAAATTAATTGGGTCAAAAATATTCTTGAAAGAACTTCCCTCTAGGCAACTAACAGCTGAGGAAGGTAGTCCAGTAGTATTAAAACCAATGTATATCTACAGGCTGTCATGCTTGCTTCATTTTCTGTCTGTCAGTGAAACATTTCGTACACTAGAATTTACAGGAACTGTAGCTACTGGTTAAATCCTGATTGCACTGCTGGAAATTAATAAAACTTTACATACATCCTGGTTTTCGTTATTTCAGCCCTCATAATGATTACGTTTATTTTGAATATACACAAATCTGAAGTATGGCCATGCCTTCCACTTGGAGGACCACATGTGCAGCAGAAATCTTTTCTGGGGATACAAAAAGTATTTGACTTATTACATGTGAGAATCAATCTCGTGTCTTTACCCTGCACTCTGAAGCACTAATCTGATCAGGCTTTCCTGCATGTGAGCAGTCGCAGAAAGGAGAAGTGTGTGTTTTTGAAGGATCTAGAGGTCTGCGCCTTCAACTGCAGGTGTATCGTCTTCTACCACAAGAACGAGCAGTTTATGTTCATAAAGCACATGCTGTAGCTCATAGTTTGGAATTCTGAATGTTTTTCTAGCTGGAAATCTTTTTGCATGGATCTTTTTAGACAGAAACAAGGATATTCAGAAGCACTGCTTTCACTGAAGTCAAGTGAATTTTCATTTATCATTTAATGGATGCAGCCTTAGGCCAGTGATGAGTACTGTTGAAAACTCCTCCCCTAAATGTAATCCTGCTGTTGTCGTGCTTTGCATTGTATTTTATTTCTTAACTTTACTTGCAGTTCTGCACTGTGGAAGGATTCATAACAGCTTTGGTGGATGAATTTCCCAAGTTACTGCGCAATCGAAGAGAAATCTTCATTGCTGTTGTGTGCATTGTTTCCTATCTGATAGGGCTGTCCAATATCACTCAGGTATGTTCTGTATGAGAATGGGACCTTGTGTCTGACAAACAGCATCTGCTTTATTTGCCCTTTCCCCTGCCCCAACCAGGAATCACTGCACACCACAGCAGTGGCAGGGATCTATCATCAACGCTATCTAAAGACTTCAGGCAGCAGACGTTAACTTCTAAGTGTGAAATGCCTGTAGTCCATGGGTGCACTTTGTCCTACTTCATGGTTCAGGTGACAAGAAAATACTCATCTCTAGAGTCTGTCTTACAGTCCAAAAAGTGGCAGCTAGGGATGCTCTGCATTGCTTCCTGTGATCTGCTAGACTGCAAACTATTTCAGGAAAATTATTTGACTTGTTGAACAAAAAGGAGTAAAGTGAAACCAAGCCAGTTAATTGAATTTGAGCGGTCATCTAATTTTTGACAGTACTGACCTCAAGCGTTACAAGACTTTAACTTGTTAACTTTAATTAATTTACATTAATATGTCCCTAACCTATTTGCCACTGTTAATTTCTAGCTTGCTTTCTAATCCATCTTGAAATTGGAGTCCTTGCTATTTATTTTAACACTTCCTTCTTACATGTTCTAGGGTGGAATCTACGTGTTTAAGCTTTTTGACTACTACTCTGCCAGTGGAATGAGTCTCTTGTTCCTTGTATTCTTTGAGTGCATCTCGATATCCTGGTGCTATGGTATGTTTTTATTTTTTCCATAAGTATTGCACATCATAAGATACTTCATCCACTGATTTCTTCTTCTGTGTGCGCACATGCTGAAGGTCAAACTGAAATTGGCTTTCTTTCATATGCGTATAACTCCACTGAGGACTCAAATTTGGCTCATGGAAGGTACTCCTGCCTCTTTAAAGCACTCCACGTATTAACCTGGAAGTCATGAGATGCTGTTTCAGGAATTTTAGATAGGTGGCATCTCCCTCTTGTTTTGCTGACCCCCTTCCTTGAAAGGCCTGGATCTTCAGAGACGTGAGGTCCTGCTGTTCTCAACAGGATGACTCAGGTCTTTTGGACTTTGTGGTGTTTCGTTCCCAGAAATGACTCTGTCACTCTAGGATCTTGCAGTGAGAGCCAGGCTGCTTGGCCAGTTGTGTCTTGCACAATTACCCTAAAATATCCAGAAGCCTGGGCTGACAAGCTCTGAGTATAAAGATTAATGAGTATGTATCATATTCTTGCTGGAGTATTTGTGCATTTGACCTGTTAGCTAGTCCAGGGACCTGCTCCCCTGGTTGCTAAGGCTCTTCAGCTTGTACTACAAAACTGATTCAGAGCTGGATAACTGGAGTCTTTCTGCTCTCTTCCAATGGGTTTAAGAGGATGGAACCACGCTTTACAGGGGAGAGATACTGCATATGAATCCAGCAAATGTGAGTGGAAAAATACACCAGCTGAGAAATGAAGAAATCAAATACAAAGTTACAAGTAATATCACAGACACCCCTTTTAGGAGGTGGGGGAATGCTGGTGGGTAACAGCAGCAGCAGAAGGGCTACTCTTAGATTTCACATGCAGTTCTGCATGTCTGTGGTGTGCATATATCCACACAGAGTGAAGCTGGTTGACCCTAGGATGGATTTGTATTTTTCTAATTTATTTTATAAAGTATCGTTCTAAATCTCTTGTTCCAATAAGAGTTGGGAGTTGAAATTAACCCAGGGCGATTTATTGCATCTGACCTTCAGATGTACAGACGTCCTCATGGAAGCCTCTGCATGGGCACGTTTGCTGGTTACTAATTAATTATGATGTGAAAGAATGAGACCAAGTGACTCTTGGTGCTTCTGAGTTTGCACATTTCTTTCTCATTCAGACCAGTGAAAAGTTATGTTGGGGACTGTACAGAGCTTCCCAATACACAGTTATGACAGTGTCTCTCAACCACTGAGCTTTCAGTTGAATCTAAGCTGTTTCTATGCTGTTTCTTATTTCTATATTTAGGTGTTAATAGATTTTATGACAACATCCAAGAGATGGTGGGATACAGACCCTGCATCTGGTGGAAACTCTGCTGGTCATTTTTCACTCCTATCATTGTGGCAGTAAGAAACGAACTTTTTATTATATTATTCAGAGGATGTAAATGAGGTGGCCCATGTACACTGCAGCGTTATCATTTCCTCCCTCACCGGTTCACGTTAACTCTGACCTCATTCCCTTTTTAAGGATTTGAGCAATCCCATTGAAGGCAGTATGCAAAAACCAGTGTCATAGAGGACAAGAAGTGTCACTAGAAGGAAAGAAGCCTTGTGCAGGTTCAAGATTTGTATCAGTCCTCTGGAAGTGGTGACTAGTCCAGCGTTTGATTAGCAGAGAGAGAAAACGAAGAAACCAATTTTGACCATTTCTTGTATTCTGACGTAAAATTCAGCAATCTCTCTAAAGCCTGAATTTTCCATAGACACAAAAACACCCACATTTTGTGAACTGAATTCCTTCACAGGCACTATTCTGGTAACAGACTAGGATTAAAAACTGGTGTTCTTCTCTCATGGGATTCTGTGGAATATATTACCCCCACTTTATACTACACTGCTACTGTTTTTTCTGGCAAACTTCGCAAGGATTTTATGCACTGGAAACCACAGTGCAGTCTTATCCTGCTTCTAAGCTTTATCCAGTTAAGCCCATACAGTACATTTTGAAATAATAAACAAAGAAATGTAAATTTACTCCACATAATGCAGTCAACCCAGATGCAATATGAAAAACTGTAATCAAGTAGGCATTAATACACATAACACAACACTTCCTGCTCTCTAAAATTCCCATATAGCCATAGCAAAGTAAACAAAGAGCACTGAAGGGAGGCACAGAAGTGGTCTTATACTGACCCAGATGAAGGTGGCTTTCATTTTTCTGAAAACAAGTGTTCAGGAAGGCATAAAAACACTATTTGTGTGTTTCAGTGGTAGAGCAGGGAGATCTCCGGTGTTGTATGTAAAACTTAACGGGTTTCTCCTGCCTTGTAAAGTCTTCAACAGAATTTGTTGTCCAAACTGTGCGAGTTCACAGGTGGTGGTGATGTGCTAACCAAACCTGCCACTCTGCGTTCTCCTCTCTGGGAATATGTTCTGCACAGGGCCTGAACGTGGGGTTGGAATGAGCTTCCTTCCTTGCTGGCTCAGTTTAGCAGGTTTCTCTGATGCAGGCTGTTTTAGACATCTGAAACAGGCCATGATAGGAGTCTTCCGTGGGAACTTAAAGGAAAAAAAAGCCGTGTTTGCAGGTCATCTGTTTTAAAACAACACAAAAGCAACCCACAGGTGCTGCTGACCAATGGTACAGTATACATGTGTATGCAGGTGTTATTCCCCAGGACCCTCATCTTTCCCAATAGCCCCCTTCCCTCTGATTTTGTGCAGGTTATCCGAGGACTCTGCTAGTACCAGTGGATTCCCTGTACCAGCATACCTGGATAATCTGAGATGCAGGTTATGTATGCGAAAATATAGTGTTAACTTGAATTGAGATTAATTTTGGTAAGAAGCTTCATGGGAAACTATCATCTCTTGTTACTGAGAAATTCAAAGTGGTTTCTGAATTTCCTATGTTCTGTTATACAGACAAATCTGTAGACACTTACTGAACCACAAGTTCCACTCTGACTGCCCTCATTTTCCATTATGAGTTTGTTCTGAAGATCTGAACGATATCAAAGCCTCTGGGCCAGGCACTCTTAGGTGGTGATATCAGAGAGGTCAGCACAGAGCCGGGCTTTAAAGAGCATTTCTTACTGAGAGCCCCTAGGAGTCCGCTGCTGACCAGTAGAGTAGAGCTGTACTGATACCATTACTCCACCAAGAAAGTTAGTGGGAACAAACAACTTCACAAGTGCAGAACCAGTGCAGTGGGCTGACATTTGCCTGTTTTCTGCACTGTCCATCTGGAAGACTGACCTGCAGGCCTCAGCTGCAAGCCAGTGCCTGGTGGCCATCACCAGGGACCAAAGGAACCCTTTTCTCCTTGCCTGGATGTAAAGGCAGGCTTGAGGTCCAAGTCAACCCAGAAAAACTCTCAAACACTGACCACTCTGGCAATCTGATCCAGATCTTCTTTCTGCTGTATTTTGCAGGGAGTGTTTATCTTCAGCGCTGTCCAAATGACTCCGCTCACGATGGGAAGTTACGTTTTCCCAAAATGGGGCCAAGGGGTTGGTTGGTTCATGGCTTTGTCTTCTATGGTGCTGATACCAGGCTATATGGCATATATGTTTCTAACCCTGAAAGGCTCCTTAAAACAGGTAAGTCTCTCCCTTTGCTGACTGCATGATTTCATCTTGTGAGACCTGTGCACACTGATAAAAGATTGCTGGGCAGTTATTTTCTACTACATATTTCCCATGACCTCACTTGCTTAGCCCACTTATTTTGCATTGAGCTGGAAAACATAAAACCAAGTACCAAACAGAGAAAAGACAAGACAGTGTCTGTACCATCTGTTGTTAAACATAATTCACCACATCAGATGTGGTCCTGATCTCTGGGCTTTGACAGCTCCAGACACTTTGTATCCCAGCTCCTTCCACCTAGAAATCAAAGTAGCAGATTTCCAAATGCATACATTGTCCATATTAACACAAGATGTAGTCATGTATCAAGGCAGGTGAAGCTCTAAAGAATTGGAATTAAACTCTTAGGACTAAACCCACATAACTTTTGGATCCCATGAGGCTGCTCCCAGTGATCCTATTTAGCATCTCCCTGCAGTGGGATCAAAGATCTGAGCTGTTCTGCATTGCACGTCTTCTCAATTACAACGGCAACCTTGTTCTGCTGCAGCTGAGAGCAAGTACATGATAAATCTTGGGAGAATATTTTATGATTACGCTGGACGTCCCTTTGGCCTTCATTTAAAGGATTTCTATGAAGAGTTACTTCATGAAGAACATTGGAGGCCTTTTTCTCATTGCACTGTGCTCTTGGCCTCTCCCCGATTCCTTGTTCCATCTGGTAAAAGGAGATGACCCTTGCCAGATGAGAGGTATTGCATGGCTTAAATCCATTTCAAGATCCTGAGAGAAATGCTGCTAAATGAGTGAATAAGGTTATTGACCACTACAACTTTAATAATTATGTACAACTGCCGCACTTTTAATCTGGGTGCATCATCAGTTTTCCCTCTCTGGCCAATAATCTCATTGTGTGTGTAACAGATTTCTTCAGCACGAGTATCAAAACACACATCTCTGTCCTCTGCAATGGTGGGTACCAAAGATTGTCAAAATGCATTTGTCCGAATTTCTGGAATGTTCTAAAATCGGCTGACAGAGCCATCTTTGCAAAGGGACAGATAACCTTAAGCGGAATGGAATTGCTCAGATCTTGATCCAAATATTTGTCTTCAGCAAATTTTAAAAGACTCGGTGATGCTTCAGAGACATCTACAAAAAAAAATTCTGGTTCTTTTTTTTCCTGCTTGTTCTTAGCTCCTACATTTTGAAAATCTTTCCCTTGGTCTTATGGGAACTTTTATGTGCAAACGGAAAATTGTTGCTCTAAAATACAGCTACTTCTTGGGCAGAGCTGTGTACACCCATAGCAGAAGGTCTTCATCTCTGTCTTGCTGTGCGTTAAGGTCTCGTTTTTGAAAGTGGTCATTAGTGAATAGGAGGAGCCTACACCACTCCCAGGCTTTGAGGATCAAAACTGGGCTCAATATGAATGTGAGCTCAACAGATAAGTTTCAGAGAATACAAAAGGACTAGGAAAGACAGACTAGAAATCAAATGCTCTTAAATACAAGTCTGCTTTACCTGTTGTATACTTGGAGGTGTAACTCACAGAAGTTGCAGCTCTCTAGTCCCTTCTGCTCCCTGGGGGGGTCACCATCACCTCCAAGATTCAACTTGGAGGTCCTGCTGCCCCCTGCAAACTTGCAGCCTCTGTGCTTGATGGCTTGCAGCAGTGCCTCCTCCCTGCCCCGCACTGCAGCCTCTCCTCACCTCCTTTCCCCAGGTGTACTCAGTCGTTAATGCCTGCTGGTATCCATGTGGACATTCAACTCCTCCTGCCCTGTTCAGGACACAGTAAAACTGGTTTTACTCTGTGAGACTTCCTGCCTTTTTGGGGTCCTTGGGAGAAAGATTTTTTCATTTTAGCTCCAATACCCAGACAGAAGTGTTTAAGATTGCCTGTGAAAACAAACAAACACAAAAGTAACTTTAGAAACAGCTTTTTTGATGCCTCACATTTGTTGTTCTTTAAACAGCGCATTCAAGTAATGATTCAGCCAAGTGAAGACATCGCTCATCCTGAAAACGGGCCAGACCAGGCCCAACAGAGCAACTCCGCAAACAAAGAAGCCTACATCTAAACTCCTGTATTGTAAAAGTACCAATACTACTCCAGAAAAACAAAAAATATGGTTGAATATGACCACAAATTTATGTCTGAGAATATAATTACCTACCTCTAGTGGCAAAAAAAAAGAAAAAAAAAAAAAGAAAAAAAAGAAATACGGTCATCTCCACTCTAAGGGAATCGCCATGGGTATGATCCAACCATTGCGCCAGCTCAGATGTTGACAGTGTTTTGTGTTCTCTGGCAATCCACAGACTGTTAATGTTTTTATCCTTTCACAATAATAGTTGCATATCTTGGAATTTGTAAATTGATGTGCCAAGACCTTTTTAATCTACCTTTTAGCACGACTATTTGAAGTTTTGTGCTGCTGATTTTTAGTAGTTTATCAAGATTTCTTACCGCTGAATCCCAAGACTGTTATTTCTGAATCTGCATGAGTAAAATTGAGTTTGGAATTGTTTTGTACAAAAGAATGAAGTATTTTGTAAACAAGGGATTTTCAATGAAAAAGTCTGCCCTTAAAATTTGCTCCAGTCACGGCCCTTTGAGGGGAAGAGACTTCCTGCCATTCACAGTAGACACAGCCTTTAGAAACACGCCTAGTGCAAACTGGGTTACACGGCTATTTGTGGTCACACAGCATAGGATGGCTTTAAATGCTGCCTATGCTGAGCCTTTCAGGATAACTTTCAAATAAAACATTAAATTTCTTTAGCTATATCTTATATTTCTTATAAGAAGAGCATATCGTTGTGAATCGGTACCAGGTGAATCACAGAAGTTAGAGGCAAAAATATGACTTCTAACTGTTTTAGCAAAATGTGAAGTAATACCCAAGAGCTCTTAAAGATTCCCAGGAGTAAAAGAAATACAAAGTATTTGCAATTCAAGCTCAGAGCACTTGAGCTGTTATTGTTCTACTGTTACTGCATTGCCACCAAAATAGAAACCAAAACAATGGCTTAAAGATTGAAGCTGATCCTTGTAATTCTAATTTAGGGTTTAATTCACAACTGTTCTTTTTAATCTGTTAAAGGACTTCAACCGTTTCTAATAAGCAAATTACGAAACACGGATCATTAGCACTTTGAAAACAGTTTTATTTTTATTTACGTATTATTTGTGGTGATGAAGGCATGAAGGAAAGCTATTTCAGTACTACAAAAATCACTCTGGACTCAGTCTGCATTTGCCACATCGCTAGGAAGCCCGTTCAGCTCTGGGAAGTTTTTCCCTGGGTGGGAGCCGCAGTGGTTAGCCCTGTATGGTATTACTCGTTTGGCAGCTATACGACAGGCACGGAGGAGTACGGAAAATGCAGTAGTTGATGTTTGATTGTAAATGACTGTGACAGAACTGTGCAATGAAACATGCTTTTCAGCAAATTTTTGTGCAACGTACAATGTTAGATAGCACAATTTATGTAGAACTACTATGTGAAAAACACGTTAACTGTGAATGTTGGGTTTTTCGTTGTTTTTGTCTGAAGGTGACAAACATGTTCTTGCAATAAGGTATTATTCTCAGAATGTCAAGCACATTATTGTAGAAATAAAATATATATAATACACATGTATTTCAAACTACATCATAAAATCTCAGAGTATGTTTGGTAGATTCTAAACTGTTTCATCCATAGATCAATTGTAAAATATTATGAGACCTAAGCTACATCCTAAACGGCTATAGCTGAAAAGTCCTGTAAGTCTTTGGGATTTAGAGGAAAACCCTACATCCTACACAAATATTACACATGATACATATGCATTATAATTGTGAATTTCATTAGACTAAGGATAAAAACTCCAACTTTCTCTTTATCGTTTAATGTAATCAAGTCCCATGTTGTTCTAAGCAAAATGCAGTATTTAATGTTTGATTGTAAACAATTATGACAGATGTTTGACAGACCTGCTCTTTAGCAAAAAGCTGTACAAACGTATCACATAGCACAAAATAGTGTTGTAGATCTACTGTGTGTAAACTGTGAATAGCTGTATCTTTTTTGTAGTACTTGCCCTGAAAAAAAATGAAAAGATTATTGTATGGATCATATATGCTTTTTGCAATAAGGAAATATCTGAACACCAAGCAAATCTATCTCTATATAAAAATATATATGTAATATATACATATTCAAAAATATATACAGAGCCTGTTTAAAAGAGTACAGTATTATTTAGTAAATTGCAACCTGTTCTATGGACCAAATGTAAAATATTTATAAATTAAGATGCATTTTAAATGTCTATAAATGGTGTCATAATTAAAGCACGATTGTTATGTAAGTTTCCAAGAGTTTAGAGGAAAAAGAATAAAGGTTATATTATACATTAAATTCAGAATTCTGCAGTCTTTCATTGGACAAAACCAACAGGTAGTCTTTCTTTTCTGTGAAGCAAGTTCTAAATCTTTCATATACATACACAAAATACATCCTTTAAATATCAAAACCCTGTATCACACTTGTGATGTGCACAATTAATCCACAGTGCTATTTCTATAATGTAGTTGGTATGTGCATCCCTTACACAGTTAAAAGGTGGCGGTTCACAGCCCTCCCTGGCATCCTGCGTAGGAGGAGGGCAGAGCAGGACCTCTGAGCAGCCCTAGCAAAACACCTGGCTTTTAAAATAACTGCTTCATGTTCGTTGCTGCTGATGCTTTGGGAGGTGAACTGCAGCACCTGAAGGCCCTGATTTCTAAGCCATGAGCGAGGAGTGTGCCACCCCAGGCTGAAGCCAACGGGCTGGTTAAGGGGTGGCCTCGGACTGAAGGGACAGCTGATGTTTGTACACAGGTTCCTTGTTCTCTGTATCAGCTGCCATTAAAGTGTGAGATGTCGAGCAAATTGCACAGCAGTCGATGCCTTACATCTGCAGCTGTGCCATACTGCTGAGCTGAATACTCCCATGCTCTGAATTTAATTATCTAACTATAAAATTGGAGCAGGACATCATGCTTCTGAGCAATTTAGAGAACATGATTAGAATTGAAAACACTCCTGATAGAAGCGTCTAAAACCATAGACTTCAAATTCAAAATGCTGACCTTAGAAAGGAGCACTCAACTGTGCAAGTACGAGGCGAGGGCAGATCCTTCTGCTTGTAAAAAAGGCTGGAGAGGAAGGGAGGAGGGAACATCGCAGATCCTTCTGGAAATGGGGGCAGAAACAACTTCAGTGCTTTTCAAATACAGGGGAAAATTGAAACCAGCTTTAATGTTTAGTTCCTGGGCACTGTGTATTGTATTGCTGGCCTGCTGCTTTCA